GGGGGGTGGGCCCCCCACGCCTGGCGGTGCCAGGAGGGCAGCGGAGCCGATCGATGCCTTACTCACCATGGAGGCCACGCAAATGGCACATCCCGGCGTTGCGAAGGCAGGTGGTGGGGCTGGAGACAGCCACGCCGCCCTCCCCCGGGACTCTCTGAGAGTCGATGGAGTTTATTACTTTAACGTTATTTCCTCTCTCTTCCTGAAGAGCATCTTTTCGGCAGTGCTGCTTTGCAAAACGAGGAGCCAGCCCCTGGCAGGGGTAGGGTCTCGGCACCGGGCTTTCTTGCCCAGAGGTGGCAGAGGAAGCCCCCAGCACCCCCCTGGCTTGCTTGCCAGCCTCTCCGCTGACGGAGGACGAGAGGGAGAAGGTGGATGAGTGCAGGCGGCTTCTCTGAGCTGAGCAGGCTCAGAGCAGCGGCAGGATTTCATTAGCCTGCCTCTTAAGGCAGTGAAGTCTCCATCCCCACCCACGCTCCCTCCCCGGCCCAAACCCTGTCCAGCGCAGGGGTGGTGGGACCTCAGACTTCATTTGGAGCTTCCCAACAAGCCGTAAGTCCTTCTTGGGTTGGAAAATCAATTTTCCTTCTGGCTGTTTTATGATCACCCCCTCAACCCCTCTGCACAGCTGGTAGCGTTAGAGCCAGGATCGATTTTTGGGGTTGGCTTTGGGGAGCAGGGAGGGGGGACAGCCCTGCTGAGATTCCCCCTGGTGACGGGCCAAAGGGATCAAGGTGGGCTGGGGAGCTGTCAGGTTTGTTTCTGGATGGGAAACGGGGCAAGGAGTGCTTGGGAACCCCGGAGGGAGGTTTGGGGGAGATTTTGGGTGGTTTCCCAAAGGAGAGGCTATGGCTGGGGCAGGATTGGGGGGTGAGGGTGCAGAGCCGTGGTGATCAGCAGCATCCTGGCACCCTGACACCAGCAGGGAGAGGGACAGAGCAAACTGAGGCAGCAGAGGCATTGGGAAAGCATCCCACAAAACTCCCTATGTTTTTGCAGCCATGAATCCCTATGTCAACTGCTCCGGACCCAAGTTCCCCCTGCCCCAGCAAGACTTTTTTGTGGAGCCCGTCAGCCCCAACCTCTGCAACGGGACTCACACAGGGACCTTGTTCGACCCTAAGGATGCCAACTTGACGGAGGAGCAGCTGCGAGATAAGTACCTGGGACCTCGACGGTCCAGCTTCTTTGTCCCTGTGTGTGTCATCTACCTGCTGATCTTCGTGGTGGGAGCCGTGGGCAACACGCTCACCTGCATCGTCATCCTCCGGCACCGGTTCATGAGGACGCCCACCAACTACTACCTGTTCAGCCTGGCTGTCTCCGACCTTCTGGTGCTGCTGCTGGGGATGCCGCTGGAGCTGTACGACATGTGGAGCAACTACCCCTTCCTCCTGGGTGCCAGCGGCTGCTATTTCAAGACGTTGCTCTTCGAGGCCGTCTGCTTCGCCTCCATCCTCAACGTCACGGCCCTGAGCGTGGAGCGCTACATCGCCGTGGTGCACCCGCTCAAGGCTAAGTATGTGGTGACCAGGAATCATGCCAAGAGGGTCATCGTCACCATCTGGGTCTTATCGGTCATCTGCTCCATCCCCAACACCAGCCTCCACGGGCTGCAGCCTCTCTGCGTGCCAGGCCGAGGACGGGTGCCCGATTCGGAGATCTGCACCCTGGTGAAGCCCCTCTTGACCTACAACCTCATCATCCAGATCACCACCATTGTCTTCTTTTTCTTGCCTATGGGGACCATCAGCATCCTCTACCTGCTGATCGGCCTGCAGCTGAAGAAAGAAAAGATGCTGGAGACCTTGGGAACCAAATCTGGTGGCGGCAGTGGCCACGACTGCCACAACACTCGGGGGCAGAAGAAAGTCAAGAGGAGGCAGGTCACGAAGATGCTGTGTGAGTCTGATGTTGGGGATGGGCAGAGCCAGGGGGTATCTCCCAAGGCTCTGTTGGGAGGGTGCTGGGGGAAACTGAGGCAGGGCTAGTCTGGAGCACTGAGGCTGGGTTGTCCCAGAGAAAGGCTGCGGGGCTGTCTCATGGGGTGTTGGGGCAAAGGCAGATCTGGTGACTCCACTCCAACAGCGGGGATTGTTTGTGCCAACTCCCTCTCAGCTGTGAGACCTCCCCTTCAGGAAAGTGCTGGGTGGGAAAGGGAAAGGAGCTGGGATGGAACGGGATGGGGGAACCTGCTTCCCATCCCCCAGCCCAGTCCTCACGTGGTGGTGGTGGTGGTGGGATTTCCCAGAGAGGGACCAGTTCCTACCCAGCCCTACAGCCACTGTAACCATCCCAGGGCAGCGAAGCACTGACCCAAGGCTGGAGTGGAGCATCCCTCTGTCCCACCACTCTATGCTTTTACTCCTCTCTCCAGCCCTGTCCCCACAGCCTCTGGTCCCCTTCCTGGCAGCAGGAGCTGGCTGCCCTTGGGTAGTCGTTTCTCCCCGGCACGCTGACCTCCTCATGCTCCCAGCCCCGTGACGGCACAGCCATGGCAGGTTGCCCAGCCCAGTCCATCAGCAGGGCCAGGGCTGCTTCTCCGTCCTGTCCCAGACAAGTGGTAATTCCGCTTCCCCCGGCACTGGGACTGGGAGAGGGACAAAGGGGGACCCGTCCCCACGTGCCATGGAGATGCAGCATGGCATGGGTATGGCAGGGCAGACCCCAGGACTAACTATACAACATCCCCTTTCCTTTCCATCAGCAGCACTGGGGTACCAAAAAAAAAAACCAAAAAACTACAACAAAACCAGAGCACAAGAAAAGAGCCTCTTAGACTTTGCTGGCAAAGGTGGTGGGGTGCCCAGAGGCTGGGTGCCCAAAGGAGTGTCCCCCAGCCGTGCTGCACAACCATGGGGGCTGTGGCACAGCTGGCTACCTGCCCACGGGGAATGGAGACACGTGGCAGTTCAGTACCTGGAGCAGCCCTGGCAGGAGATGGAGGGAGGGAGATCCTGTCCAGATCTCCATGGCAAGTCAAAAAGGAACAGGGGGGCCCTTCCTCTCTCCCCTTTGCTCTTTCCCATGATTTTTTGGGTGTTCTTTGCTATGGCTGGAGGTGAAACGGGGCAGTGCTTGTTGAGGGATTGGACGTTGCAGGGGGTTGAGCCCTGTCTAACACCAGCTCCTCATATCCCCACAGTCGTGCTGGTGGTGGTGTTCGGGATCTGCTGGGCCCCCTTCCACACTGACCGCCTCGTCTGGAGCTTTGTCTCCACTTGGACCAGCCACATGCACCACGTGTTCCAGTACGTCCACATCATCTCAGGTGTCTTCTTCTACCTGAGCTCAGCCGCCAACCCCATCCTCTACAACTTGATGTCCACCCGTTTCCGGGAGATGTTCAAGGAGGTGATGTGCCGCCCTGGCCACCGCCCACCACGGTCACGGAAATACTCACCCAGCGTCACCCGCACCACCACCCGCAGCACCGAGTGTGAGCCCATGCCTGGCACCAACGGGCTGCCCCTCTCCGACGCCGAGGAGTACGAGCTGGAGGAGGTGGAGGAGGCTCAGGCCACCACACATGCAACATCCGTCTGCTGATGAGCAGGAGGACGCAGGGGGATCAGGGCTGGCTTTCCCCACCACCAGCATCCCTCTTTCTGTGGTGCCCATCCCATGGTGGGGAGAGGGTAGGAGTGATGGAGGGGTCCCTGCCTCTCCTTGCCATCCTGCTGGGATGTGAAGGTTGGTTTTCTTGGCAGCGCTGCTCTAGGGACATGGTGGTGGTGGCCGTGCTGTGCCCTGGATGTGTTGCACCTGCTGTGCTCAAGCACTGGGGCTGGTCAAGGCCAGGGTATCCCTTGTGGTGTGGGAACAGCTGGCTTCTATGTCAGGGACAACAGAGCAACCCCCAAAACCGCTCAATCCCTGCAGCCCAGCGGGGTGAGCCTACGGGTATTGGGGGTGTCAGGCACCCTGGGCTGTTTTGGGACTTGGTGCTTGATGGGTGCCCCTAAGAGGTGCTCACACCCAGGCTGAGACCCACAGGGGTGGGAGAAGTTTGCACAGGATGGAGCAGGGAAAAAAGTGTCTTCTCCCTCGAGACCTCCCCAGGGCCCTCTGGCACCCATGTGCCCCTGGTTTTCTTGCACATCCCTTCGGTGGTGCCAGCTGGTGTTTGGCTGCAGGGTGCTGGTACAGCTCCTTGCTCCCAGCCTTCCTCCCTCATCAGCCCACCAAGGGCAAGGGAAGGAGCGTGGCTACTCCCTTCGGAGCCAAAGCCTACAGGGGGAAAACAGGCTGTCTGCAGCCCCAAGTCACAGCTCTGCACCTTCCTTGTGCCCCACAAATGTGCCCTGCTCTCCCTCCTCCAATGTGTGTCTGGCAGGTGCCACCCTCCTCTTCCTCAGCCCATTGTGGCCCCCTGCACCTCTGGGGAATGTGGGTAGCCTTCCTCCATCCCTGCCCTGGATGGGCTGAGCCTCATTGAGAAATAAAAAAAGACATTGTTGGCCTGATTTATGCCCTGGTTGAGTCCCCCAGGACCCAGCTCTTCTCCCGGCATGGGACTGAACCTGGGCCATCCTCCTGGGAGGTGTCGGGCAGGCTGTGTGCCAGGGGCATGGGCACCAGGGGTGTCCCACCAGCTCTGCCTGTGGGTTCTGCTGCCGTGGTGTGTCTGTGGGGCTGGGCAGGCTCCAGGCACGGAAGGGAGGGTGTGAGTGGGATGCAGGCACCCTTCCTGGTACCCGGGATGCTGGGGCTGGGGCGAGCGCAGAGGGGGAGCTGCCTCCCGAGCGGTGGCAATCAATCTATCCCCAGACACAGGGCTCAGGAAATGTCATGAAAATGCCAGGGAGCGCAGGCTGGCGGGTTGTGCTCCCCCAGGCTGGAAGGACCCATTGATTTACTGTCGGAGATCGATGCCGCTGACTTCGAGGCGTACGCCAGGTCCTCTCGCAGGATGAAATATTAAGGCTCCGAAATGCCACCCGAGGGGCTGTCCGAGCAGCTTGAGCTCTTGGCTCACACAGCTTCCCCAGCCCCAGTTCTCTCCCAGCCAGCCAGGAAGGCATCCCTGGCTCGGCATCCCATGTCTGTGCCTCTGGGCAGTGTGGCTGTGCCAGGGGGGCTCACCCAGGGACCCCAGTGGAGGAACTGGAGCAGAGAGCCCCAGGCAGAGTGCTGGCAGGGGCATCACTGCCCGGTGCTGCTCTGCTTCCAGCCCCTCCGATGCACATCCACGAGGCCAGGACACTGACCAAGAAGGGGCAGGGTTTGGGGCTTGCAAACTCCCTCTTGCCCCCATTGACCCAGTCCCTGGCTTGGGGAAAGCATGGTCAGCTCCCCATCCCCACAGCAGGGTCTACCATTCACAAAGCCCTTCCTTGGCCTTTGTGGGGTCCTGCTGGGTGGGGATGGGCACGGGGCTGCTATAAGCTTCTCACTTTAGGATCCTGCTGGCTGCTCACAGCCCCTCTGCAGAGGATGTTGGTGTGGCCAAGGGCATCAAGAGCCATCTATTTCCTTCCGTCTCTGACTCCCATCACTGGTGGTCCTGACAAGGGACAGCACCCTGGAAGCTGTGTGGGGCTCCTCGTAACTGCAGTGTGGGTGGACATGACTGATGCCTCCTTGATGGCTGTTATTTCCCTATCTCACTTCACCCGGCTGCTTCCCACCTGCAAATCGCCGGGGAATGGCTTTTTAATAGGCAGTCGATACCATTTTATTATGCAGCGACAGCTGCCTGCGTGGAACCTTCATCCAGCCTCATGTTCCCAACTCCCCTGCCATCCCCTGATCTGGGGCTCCCCATCCTCCTCAGCTCCCCCAAAATCTCCTCTCTGAGATGCAGAGGGTGACTGTGCTGCTGAGGCTCTGGTGTGTCAGGCAGTGACACTGGGGGCTTCCCCGCTGCCCACCCCTCGTGCACAGCTGGGCCAGGGATCGCCCCAAAAAGCATCCCAAAGGCTTGCCAAAGCCATGGTTGCAACACGTGGAGATGTGCAGGCAAAATTTGCTCCCCTCAGTGGGGTTTTGTGACCGCGTGGGGAGACCACCCCAAGTCCCTGGGTACTGCGTGCCAGCTGGGCTCACGAGAGGTGCTGCAATCAAAGGCTCCCAGGCAAGTCCTTTAATCCCATAATTAATTTTAGAAAAAGCTGCAGTGAGGGCATGAAACCTAATAAAAAAGGAACTGATCTCCTGGGGGAGAGCAGTTTCACTGAAAGGGTTTTACACCTTTCCATCACCGGGAAGATAGTGGCTCAGCTCCTGCCCACCCTGGGCTTGTTGCAGCCCCCAGGAAGGGAATTATGGAGCCTGTTTGCACTAAAGACAATGCTCCCCACTGCCCTGTGCCCTCAGGATCAGCCTGGTCCCCTGCCACCTTCCCGGTATAGTTAGAGGGGTTATTCCTGCCAGGGAGGTGGTATAGAAGCAAAGAGCCCTGCAGAGGAGCAGGCAGCAGTAGCCAGGAATGGGATGAGTTGCTCCCACCCATGTAACTGGTCAGGGGAATTGACCAGTGCTTCAGGATGGCCGTGGGGGAAGGAGGATCCCAAAAAACTGCCTGGGAGTTCTCACCAACTAAATGATCCTTTTGGGACCCAAGGGAGGACAGAGCAGAGAGACACTGGGGGGCTGGGAGCTGGGGGGAGTGTGTGGATGCTGTTGCTCTGGGTCTTTGCTTGGAGCTCGGGGAAGGACCTCTCGGTCCCTGCAACAGGGAGCACGTGGCTGGGTCGGGACCCACATCACCATCTCCTCTCCAAATGCTTTCTTTCTAAAGAGCTGTTCCTCAAAAGTTGTCCTTCTGTCCTCCCAAATGTCCAATGGCCAGTTCCTGCCTTTCTGCCCGCTGCCAGCCCTGGGGGAACCCTCGTGCCCCTCCGGCACCCCCATGGTGAGTACCCATCCCTCCTCTCTCACCTCCAGCCCTGCTCCCAGCAGACTCCCTGTATCCCAGCAGCTCACGGAGCTGTTTTCCCCTGATGCTGCCGCGCGCCCTGAGTGACACAGTATCTCCGGAGCTTCCAATAAAAAGATTTATCACCGTAGCTTTGGGGATTAAAAAGTAATCCATCCGTGAGGCTGCCCCAGCCTTGTAAGGCTTTTTTTTTATGTGCTGTGGTTGTTTGCAACACGCATGGGGTGTTTTTCTTTTTTTTTTGCTTTACTGAGCCAAACTCAAGTATTAGAGTGTTTGCCTCATGTATTCGGAGCCATGATAGATGGTGACAGAGAGTGCCAGCAGATTTTTTTGCCGTCCCCTCTTCAATAAGCCAAGGGAAGGGTTGTTTTTCGCTTCCTTCGCACAGCCATGGTATGGGGAAAAGTCATACACTGTGAATTGGCCAAAGCCCTCATGTGCCTGGGAGCGAGCAGTCCCTGGCTGGGGCCGGGCGGTGGGGCAGATTCGGGCTGCCCAGCAATCAGTATGGCACAGGAGCCTTTCCCACTGAGATCCCAGCCTTTGAGAGGGGAGCAGGGAAGCAGGAAGATGTGAAAGCCAGGAAACCACAGGGATGTGCTGGGTTTGAGCTCGGCAATTATTTAGGCTGCTTTTCCAACCATATTTCAATAATTCCTCTCCAGGGTAGTGGTGGTGGTGAAAAGCTAACACCGAGTGCCTACAGACAGGGGACGGGCAGCACAAAGGTTGGCAGGAGGGCAAACAGACAGGTGAGGGAAATATACGTAGGGCTTGATTCTGCTCCTGGGGGACACCCGTGGGCTCAGTTTTTAACTCCGCAGCAAAGGCATCTTCCCGCTCAGCTCCTCAGTGGCTTCCCAAAGAGCCAGGGCTCCTGCAGGAGCCAGCTTTCCAGGTAGACACGTGCTATGGGGAGGCTGGGGAGGAGCAGCAATGGGAAGCACAGCCCACCCCAAGGGCCCTGGATGGAGGAGCTCAGCCGCAGCTCCGGATGCTCAGGTTGACTCACATGTTGCAGTGTGACTGTCACCTGCACCTGGGACGGTTTTCTCCACATCACAGCGAACCCAACAGCTCTGGAGGGACTGGGCAACATGCAAGGAAGGGATGGGCTCCCTGTACCACACCTCTTCCCACTTAGGGCACACACCGGGGGCTAGATGGGCAAAGGGCATCTCTGAGATGTGAAGGTCTGTGTGTTATTAAAGACTTCCCTGCCTGAGATCCCACCATCCTCATGGCAGGCTGATGGGATGGACAGAGGTGGGATGCACCTTGCCCTTCCCCACAGCCTAGCAGCAAGGTGCAGTGGCAATTTCAGGGGCAAAGTGACCATTAAAACCACCGGGCAACTTAACAAGCACCAGCTGGGGCAGGATTAAGACCCCACCACAATGGATGAGAGGAGACAGCCTGTCTGCTGAGCCCACGCCTTCTCCTGTCGCGACGTGCTGTTGCTAAAGATGCTGGAATTGATGTCAGAGAAGCCCGTGTGATGCTTAATTTGGTTCACGGGGACACTTTGGTTAAGAAATTAAAGTAATGCATAATTAGCACGGCAGTAAATGGATTAAAGCTGGCTGGATGGCAGAGCCCCAGGGCAAGCAGGGACTGCTAACAACTGGCTGCAATTGCTGGTGGGGTTGGGGGGATCGAGCTCAGCCCAAAGCCCCCACATCGCCGCTGAGGAGCTTCATGGGGCTTGGGGAATGCAAGTGGAGGACTTCAGGACTGACTTGGAAGACCTCAAGACTGACCTGGAGGACAGTCGTCTGGAGAGGGCTTCCCCACAGCCCACAAAAGGTGTGTTTGGGGTCCCCAGCAGACATGCCCCAGGTGTCTACCCTGGTCCCCTGCGTGGGATGTGGAGGATGAGGGGGCACCAGCTCTTCGGTCCTCATGGGGGTGGAAAAAAAAATCCAGCATGAAGAGGAAGGCTGGGATTCTCAGACTGGAAAAAGCCTATTTTTATATACATTTAGGACCAGTGAAATGTGAGCACAAGTTCCCAAGGGTGGTGGTGGAGTCCCTTGAGGGGAAATAGCTCCCTACAGATCAGGTGTTTTTCTATAAGGCTAGCTCCTCTTCAAATGGGGTTTTGACCGTATTTGCTTCTGCCAAGGAGCTAGTCCGCATTAAAGAGTCAGGAAGGGAATGACAGCCCTTGCTCCCCCACTCCACCAAGCCCAGATGGCATCTTCCCCTTCCTCCTGGCAC